CCACCTCTGGTACATAGGCATAACGGTGCTTTCAGCTAAATGCTAACATTTAGGTAATGCAGGTAACATTACACCTTCTAATATTTAGCATTTGTAATGTTAACCATGTTCACCAACTTAGTTTTGTGTTTTAGCCTGCTAACGTGAGCTAATAAGCAATAAACACAGGGTCATGGTGGCACTAGAGGAGCAATATCAGTTGGATTTAAGGACTATTCATTGTCCAGCTGAAGCTGCACTCATGAGTGTGATATGGTGGACACTATGTCCTCCACAATAGGCATGGGCATTTTAAATTATTTCCATATTCGAGTACTCCTATTTGTTGATACACAAGTTTAATGTTTCATAGCTGGCATTGCATATTCATGTCTACTTTTTCTAAATAATTCCAAACCTTACTTTTATGCCTGGTCATCATTCTGTCTGTAACATTAGATGAGTGATGTGTGAATGAATGTTGAATGTCATCTGTGGCTGCACATGCGCACATCTAAATACCAGTATTCAAGACACTGAACAACTACTGACGTCCAAATGAGTTCTGGAGTACTCATGCCCATCCCTACTTCGCGTCAGCCTCTGCAGGGGTCAGCTGTCTGCAGGCGGAACCTGTCCGCACTGTCTGGTGTCATCTGCCAAACAAAAAGACCGATAGGAAAGGTCAGTGATGATGTCAGCTTCCCAGGGGTGGTGGGAAGCTGACATCGCTCACTTAAACACACACACATATTCACAGTCATACATGCTATTACAATTACTGAAATGTAAATAGGCTTGTTACTTTGCATGGAAATAGTGGACAGCCACAGTCTATTCCTTGGATTTTCCAGTTTGTGATCTAATGTCATCCGACCCTTGTGGTGCAGGACAGGCAGTGTGAGCTTACCTGTCTTTGTAATGTGTCAAATATTTTTTGAATATTTTTCTGCTGAAAACCTCTGTATATGGGTATTTATTAGTGTTGTTGTTTGATTCAGGTCCAAATCTGGACATTTTAGTGCAAAGCATTTAAATTCTACATATAGTGCATAACGACCACCCTCTACTGGTTGATACAAGGCTATTGCAGTTTAATGTTATTGTTGGCTGATCAGGAGGAAGGTGACATATGTGGTGGCAGCTTTTATCACCAACCAACCCCTGATTATATCAGACCAACGTCTCCCCTCTGCAGGCTGTGGCCTGCTACATAGCCTGAACCTCTACCACAGACACCAGAAACTGAGCCGATTGCTTAGCTAACGTTACAATACAAGTACCACACACAAACCTTTATGTAAATGTACTTCTAGTGACTGTCAAAGCTCCAGTGGACTGACTACTTTTCAGTAACCTGCACTTACACTGATTAACACACACAGGTGCATGCATGCACATACACCCAAAGAAACATTTACAAATATAGAGTAAATGTAAACATCTGTACAATCTTGACCTTGTCTTGACAGATCAGCAAAAGTGTGTACAGATGGAAATACACATATTACCAAAATCATTTACATCCATATACATACACTACATACAGTATTTGCACACATGGATACACACACATAGAAAAACATACAGGCAACAAGCAAATATGAGAAAACAGGCAAACTCACTGTAAATATACTCATACAGAATCAAGCACAAATTTTCAAACACACACACAAAGCTCTTGGGATTACTCCTGTCAGTCCTGGACATGGACCCAGTCGGATGTCTTGCTGAGACTCTATGGATGTTTTATAGGTCTCCTCCACAAATTGTTATGAATCTTTCATAAGGTTACATCTCATTATATATATGTGTGTGTGTGTGTGTGTGTGTGTGTGTGTGTGTGTGTGTGTGTGTGTATAAAGCACACACACACACACACACA